GATTTAATTATCTCATTTTTCATTTTAATAGGATATTAAATGCTAATGTTTCAATTTTTCTCTTTAAAATCTTCAAAGAGATATAAATGCTTTAAGATTTTTCTATTTAATTATACGTAAAGGTGAAATAGAAATATAAGTGATAATTATAGTAATAAATGAATTTCTTAATGATGGTAAAATGGACAAAGTGAGGCAACTAAATATGACTTGAGGGAGTAATTATTTTATCAATTACTTTCTCAATTCCAAAATAATAGTTTTTTTTTTTTTACTTTCAATTTATTTCAAATTAATTTGTTATTTTTTATTTTTTAAAATAGATAAATATTTTTTTAACTTTAATCTTATCATTATCTTTTTTTAATTAATTATCTTATTACAAAAAGTTATCTCTTTATCTTTTAGTTTTTTCCTAAGATAATAATATGGATAAATACATAAATTATCTTTAAATTTTTAATTTATGAAAAAAAGGTCAAAAAACAATAATTATTTTGAAAGAAAAAGAGAGTATTAAATCTTTTGACAATTAAATTAAAATAAAATTTTAACAATATTAATAACGGTGAAAATAACCATAGCCTAAAGATCATGGAACTTACAAGGGGCGAAAAGGCAAGAAGTGGGACTGGGAGTCGGATCTAAGACTAGATGGTTGTGCCTCCACTTATGTCTAGTGGATGGGCTGACTCCATCCCCACTTTTGGGCTAATCTAAGCTCTTATTGGGCCCCTAGAGTCTAGTGACCCACCTCACAATCCCCTTTGTGCTCTCTGACGACAACCCCACCCCCACCCCACTACAAAATTTTGCAGTCAAAGCAAAATATAAGCACTTGATCTGCCCCCTTCTTTTTTAGGGCTCTCTTGTTCTTGATATCTTATTTGCTTCCTTTATATATTCTCTTTGTTTCATTTCATTACACAACATTAGTTTTTATCATCATCCTCTAATTTGATGTCAAATGTTCTCATTCCGCTTGCCTTGATAGCTGGTAATCCTCTTCCCCTTATCCTAGTTCTTGATCATCAAGAGTTTTCTCAAATCAATATTCCCATGGTGATTCATCCCTTTACAATGCATTTGTGTAGTCTTCGCTCTCTTCTCTTAATGCATTTATTACCATTTTAACGTGATATTAGAGTTACTCAATGATTTACATTTTCTATCTTAATTAAGCTTTTTTGTTTTATTGAATCCTTCATCCATTTTAAGGTTCAAATTTACTTATAATCTTAAACTTTTACCATTAGTTGAGACGCAAGATTGGAGTTATATATGTGGTAACTTTTCTTAAATCCATGATTTACTTTCAATTTAATACAATTACAACCATATTATATGTAATATATACACATGCGAGTAAAGATGAATGTATTGGGCGTGATTTGCATGAAGGTAAGCTGGTAAAAGTTTGGAAAATGATGTTTGTTTTCTATGGTAAATTTATATCCAACTTCTTTATTTTTATTTATTTATTTTTTTGATATGGAACTTCTTTGCATTAGTTAGTCAACAATATAAATATTTATACTCTTAATTACTGGATCATAATTTTTTTTTTTTTATCTTTTGAAGTGTTAATTATTTGACAATACAAATATTTGAATTTTTTACTTTGATTCTAAAGCAAAATTTTTAAATTAGTTTATATCAATTCAGTCAAACTCTTATTAATTGATGAATGAATTAGATAATAATAATAGTCATTTCTAAATTTCTTTTCACCAATAAAATTGGAATGTATATATAGTACTAAAATATTGATCTAATTGTAAGTCAAGTTTAAGATTTCAATTATTTTAAAATTATTTGAGAAGAGATTAATTTAAAAAAAATTGTGAATAATAATAAAAAACCCAAAAATATCTCGCAATCGATCAACCATATATTTATGCTTTTCTTCTTTTTGAACTTTTCCTCGATATTGCAGGTTACTGTCCCAAGTCAATTATAAAAAACATCTCTCTTTTGGCACCTATTGAGAAACTTCTGACGTATATTTTGGTTACCAAGTCATCCAATAAGTTAATTTAAGGCCGCTTCCAAATGTGCAATAATCATCCACTCAATTTGCCCCACTCCAATTTCCTTCATCAATCATTTTCCTTTCATCTTTCAGTCCCTTTAAATCCCATAGTGATCCGAAAAGCATAATTTGGGTATAAACAACCATATCCTTCATCATATTGCCGACCTTCGTACTTCTTTCCAAAACAGAGCTCCTCTATTTATATGGTTCTTATTTTTCTTCTCCACCTTAACCACAAGAATAAAGTAATTCTAATTTATTGATTTGTGCCTTTTTGGTAGAATGTGGCATATAATGTACTGAACTTGTTAGGTTAGAAAAGTATAAAGTGCTTCAAGTTTTTTCCTCTTAATCTTTTGAGTCAAATTAAATCAAAAGATGTCGGCTACGCAACTGTTACTTTCTTTTAAGTGATTAAGAATTTGAATTTTCAAAATAAAGATTTTGAATTCAAACGTCAAAGTAAATTTTGAATTTAAACTTTAAAGTGAATAAAGAGAAATTAAGATAATGAAAAGATTATTCTTTATTGTGTATTTTATTACTTAATGTCAGCCGGATAATCCCCTGTTTTCCGCCCTTCTAACTTCGGCAAGCAACATAGTTTTCATTTCTCGATTGCAATTAAACTACACGAATGCAGAAAAGCAAGTCAATGAGTCAATTTATTTGTGTTTGGCTCTAAATATAGTTTCAATTTTGAAAATTTTTGAATAAAAAAAGTGTTTTGTAATTTAAATTGCATAAATTATTCTATTAATTATTAAATTAAAAGAATTCTTTAATATTAAGAAAAGTCTATTCATATTTCTTTCACAATTACTATTTTATAATCCGATACAATTTAAACAACAAAACTCCAAAGTTACTTTGGATTGGCTTTTTGGATTTTCCTTTGCCAATTCATATAGCCGACATTGATTAGTTAGTGTGCCGCGCGAAGTGTCCGTAGAAATATCACTGCCCTTTCTTTCCACCTCCCCTGAAACTTCCACCCACATGCAAAGGTGACGTGCGTGTCATCTCATCCGCTTATGTTTATTCCTTCCCATCATCCTTTGACAAAGAAAGGTATAACCAGTATGAGACCCTTTTTTATATAAATCTTCGCTTATATATAACCCCCCATTGTACATTTCTTCGGCACATTCATGCAAAATCACTTGATATATTCCCAAATGGTGATTTCTATATCTCATTCTTGCTCTCTTTAGTTCTTGAAAATTGCATGAGTCATCGCAGTTTAGGTTGATGTAGTATCTGTTTTTATTGGTTTTCATAATTCAATCTTTATGTTTTTATTTTATTTGTTCAATTGAGATTGTTGAAAATTTGATTGCAAGTTAAACAAATTACAATATTTCTCTCATTTTCAAGATTTTTATTTATTTATCTCAAAATTTGAAAATGAAACGTTTAATTTATCTCATAAGAAAATAAAATATTTTTATAATTTTAAATTTTCAATCAATTGTTTGTTACAATACAAAACTAGTTAGCTTGTTTTTTAAATTTCTTTTATATTAAAATCTGAAATTTTCAACTTAAAGATGTGTTTTAATATTTTAAACTATTGGATTGCATTTGTTTTCCAACTTAAAGATATATCCTAATATTTAAACTATTAGATTGCGTCTGTTTTGGTTAATAGTTGTATAATCATTTGAAATTGTCCATGTTATCACTGATAAAGACAAAAGAGTAAGCACATAACTTCCACATGCAGGACAAACTTCACATGTTAAAAAATGACCATGATAGTTTTTACACCTAAAGTCATTTTTAAGCTGATACACCTTGCATTTGAATTTCTGAAAATCCTTTTTCCAGGAGGAAGATCGTATGATTTCAGCAATGGCGAAGAAGGTCCGCGGGGTATTTGTGTTTTTGTTCCTTACCTTATTCTCCAAGGCGGTTGGTGACAAGATTTTCTCCAGGGTCATCGTGCCAGCTGACCCTGCCGCTGCTAGCTTCTGCCTGAGCTGGAGGCTGGCCGTGGAGGCCAATAATGTACGTGCTTGGAGGACTGTCCCAGCTCAGTGCCTGCGCTACATTGAGAATTACATGATTGGGGGACAGTATGACCTCGATATTAACTTGATTGTGGAACAAATATTGATTTATGTGAAAGACATAGTTCTCTTGGAGGATGGGATGGATGCTTGGATCCTAGATGTTGATGATACCTGCATCTCCAATCTTTTCTACTACAAGGGAAAAAGATACGGGTATGTGCATAGTCCTCTATCCTACTTAAAATTCCTCTTTTTGTATTTCTAGTCCATTTTGTTCATTAAGTCAAGTTTGAACAAGCTTTGACTTATTTAATTTGTGATTTGAAGTTGTGATCCCTATGATCCTGTCGGTTTCAAGTCTTGGGCAATGAAAGGAGCTTGTCCGGTAATTCCTGGTGTGCTTAATCTATTCACCACCCTGGTTGAGATCGGATTTAAGGTCTTCCTTGTGACTGGAAGAGACCAAGAAACCTTAGGTCAAGTCACTACAGAAAATTTGCATAATCAAGGATTCATTGGCTATGAAAGGTTGATTATGAGGTAAGAGAAGATTTCCATTTCTACTATAAGTTGCCTTAAAAATATTGCAAAAAGCTTTAATTTCTAATGCTTGTATGCAATCAAATAAATCATGATTCTCCATTTAGTTTAGACACTAAAAGGTAAAAAGTGAAGAGATGCCCTGTTTTTGGATGTTACCAAAGTCAATATCCATGCAAATGAAAGTCTTTGATCTTTGTTTCTTTTAGGCAAAACATCAAACACCTGAGTGTAAACACCACCAAATGTGAGAATCTGATTCATTTTAAGCCCATCCAAACCTAAATAACTCTGTTTCTCCTGTCAAATCTTGACACCCACAGAACCATATTCTGCCTTCCCTATAAGAAATCAGACAGTTCTAAAGAGATCTCCCCCACTACGCACAGAATATGTGCAGACTTACCCATAATGAGTTTTTGATTCCATACAATCACTAGTCCAACATATTTATTGGAAAATTGGGCTGTCGGGAGCTTACAAATTAAGCCCGATGCATATGTTTCGACATCATCTTGAACTCAAAAATTAGGAGAATTAAGGGAACAAAACCTCCTAATAAAGTCTTCTATTTTTCTTGGTTCTTCTCCTCTTGCAAACAGGAGTGCAGCTAACAAAGGGCAGAGTGCTGTGGTTTACAAGTCTGGAGTTAGAAAACAATTGATCGGAGAAGGGTACAGGATTTGGGGGAATGTTGGAGATCAATGGAGTGATTTACAGGGAGAATGTTTGGGCAACAGGACTTTCAAGGTCCCCAATCCTATGTATTTCGTTCCTTGAAATGAAATGTAAAAGAAAAGAAAAATGATCAAGTTGTCTGTGGAGATGCTGTAGGGGAGTGCATTCTTCAGAAACTAATCCATGAAAAAGTTCAGTATTCAGGACAATAAAGAATGACTCCCATCAATAGAAGCAGGAAATAATCATGTATGCAAAATCAAGGTGTTGTATTTCTATAAATCTCTTGTGACGAAGCTTTTGATTCCAAGAAAGAATTCTATGAAACTCCATAATTTCCTTTTCTTTCTTCGTCAAGTATAATTCATTTGTCATAACTCAAAACGAATGAACTATATATTACATACTATTAATTTTGAAGTAAATATAAGTCAATTTAGAAATATTTTTTTTGACCAAGTTTGGTGGGTATCGAACCCACCATGGGAGAGGAGGGAAATGAAGTAAGGCAGCCCTAAGGCCGCTTGGCCTGAAGGGCTAAGTGCCAATTTAGAAATATTTGACTGTTATTTAAAACAATTAAGTTATAAAGTATAGTAGGTAATAAAAATATCACTTAAATTTATATATAAAAAGATTTGAGTCTTAAACCTTAAAGTTTTTTATGTTTTTATTTTTACTTCAAAGTTTCTTAGGTGAAACTCGATTTTAATTAGAGTAAACTTAAATTTGTAATTTAATTGTAAAATTTTGTTTTTAGAAATTTTGAAATCAGATAAACCTACCATTTTCCTAAAAAATAAAACAAAAATATAAAATATTCCATTAAAAAAAATTGGGAAACAATCCGACAGTGTTGAAATCTGATTCTTCCTATTTCCTACTTGTTTCTCAGCAAACTATACGATCTTTCTCATCTCTCTCTTCTCTGTCTTCTTCCCCGAGTCTTTACTCTCTTCTCCACAAAATTTCTCCCTTTAGAAGAATATATATAAGAAAATTTTATATTAGTAAACTCAATTGGATCTTAAAAATCATTAATTATCTTATTGCCATATCTCGTTTGATTTCATCTTGCTCTCTCAATTCTTGATATTTTTATAGATTTGTTTAATTTTGTATCTCTTGATCGTGATGGTGATAGAAATTGTGTTAAATTGAAATCAAGCGACTGAATTTATGAGAAAATATGGGATTAATGTTCAAACAGGAGGTGGTTGTTTCTCCTGTTGATGATGTTAAGAACATGTGAAATGAAGAACTTGTGCATTTTATTCTTGATTTTTGTTCAAATAAGTCAATGTTAGGAAATGCCCAGATGTTGATTCAATTTTGGAACAATGAAATTTGAAGTTTTCATGTATTCAATCATCTGAAAATTTTCATTAAAAAAAAAAAAGAAACCATCTGAAATTTTCAAATGCCTAGGATAATTAGAGAAATTGAGAAACTTTTTTTCAAATTGGAATATAAAAGTGGCTTTAAGGGTAGAGTTTTTGCTGTCTAAGATACCCAGGTTTAAGATATAGTTAGTGGTATTATCTTTGCGAGGAGAATTAAAATTTCATATCAGTAAATTCAAATGGATTCTCCAATTTACATAAATTCAAGCATAGAATTTGTTTTTTCTCCTAAATCTCACACTTAAAAACCAACTAGATCTAAAGTACCTCATATATTTGACAGTTAAAGGAGAAAATAGAAGGGATCCCGTGGGAGCAAGCAGTGGTCAAGGATGAACAGGAGCAGGGGAGGTGGAAGATCTGGAAAAGATGGAGTAGAAACAGAAGGCACTGTTAGAAAGGAGGGAAGGGAAAGAAAGAGAAGATCTTGACTAGAGAAATACTCCGTTAGTTTTTCGTTAGGTGAAGTGTATTGTTCGTAAGATAAAGTGTATGATGAAGTAGACTAATTTTAGTGAGTTGTAATGACCTTGGGGATACCAGCTGACGTGGTAGTTCTCTAGACTTTCTCGGTAGTTACACTCAGCAAACTGCCAGGCATAGATAATGGCATTCCGTTCCGTCTCCAATTGACTAAATGTGCACCCTTTTTTTAATTTTTTTCCTGTTTTTTTTTAAAGAAAATTGGCACATGTCCTCCACTAACAGTGACACCCTTTAAATATTAAACGGTCTAAAAAAACACGAGTCCAAAGTGGGCCTATCTCCTCGCACAGGATAAGAATATGTCGACCATATTGTGCCAAATTGACCCATGTCACGGACTGCAAGCATATATAGACCAAAGATGGAGAATGGACTCTTTCATTTTTTGATGGGAATCTCTCCATGTGAGCTTCTAATCGAAAAGTAGTTCATTTACAATCATATTTTGCAA